CGGGCTATTATTTGCTTAAATCACTGAACTCAACAGGCCTATATTTGGGACAGGCCTTTAATTCCTTTCACACAAAACTGTTGCTCATTAAAGACCGGAAAATACAATGAAATAGTTTATTTAAGCCAGCATGAATATTTAGGCTTCAAAGAACATACCAATTATGAATCATTAATTTGATCTAGCTCCAACAGACATCAGAGAGAGGGTGAGTTACGGCACCCAGCATACCGACCACACAATTTATCCCGTTAAAACAATACTCACAACTTGGATATATTTTTATGAAAAAGCCTTTTGATTCTTTTGATCTGAGGACCCTTACGGACTAAAGGAATATGAATAACTGATCGAGGAATGGACACATAATTTGAGCTAGCCAACAACACGGTTTTATACATTTGAAGAACTTCTATTAAAAACATGAACCAGACCAGGCCTCTAATTGGGACAGGCCTTTATTTGTCGAAATGTGTAGCCACACCAGGCTAGTAAAAGGGACCAGGACTAGGTTTTTAATTTAAGTTTTACAGTATGTAGGTTGGGTTTAGGAAAGGAAACATGGTTGGGTGTTGTCCTGACACCTCCTTCACATAAAGTTATGTACATGAAATTAGGTTAGGTTTAGGAAAGAAAAGCTGTGAAGATTATGTTTAGGTAAAGAGACCTGGTTGGGCTTACATTAAAATAATTCAAAGTTCATTTAGTTTCATACGAGACATGAACACCAGTCTTCTGGGGGCAGGTCCTGTGCTTGTTTGAACCATCCACCACTGTGACCTGCCTCTTTACATGGGCTTTTGCTCTTCATGCTACTGTCGTCTTTACTCCTGTCAGCGCATTGGTCACTTGCACACAGCATTCCTGATTACGTGGATTATATACAAAGTCTGGTGCATTACTTTTCGTAAGTATATGTACGAACAATGCATGAGAACAGCCTGACCACAGCAGTATCACAACATAAAATTGAGTTTCAACATCTCCTCTACATATCTAACATGCTAATGTAACATAACCGTGGTTTGCAAAAATGTACAATGCCACCATTTATTTTGGTAACAGGTTGTCTTGTGTTTGTTTTATTGTGTACCCATTGGAAATGTGTATCGGGTGCGCCGATACCAGCAAAGGAGACACGCAACAAAGCTCTTAGCAAAGGTGTCGAAACTTGTCGGCCAATGACAAATCAGATTGTGAAAAATCTAACCTTTCTTTTGAAACTGCAAGTTTTTACACATTCGAGGGCAATCACACCTCATTCCTGCTCAATAATCAGATAACATGGTCACAATGTCTCTGTGTGAAGTCTCAGGGGTATAAATCCAGACTATATGGGGGAGGGTGACAAGTGCGCTCTAAATTATATTTACCTTCCAACACTTCCCCCTCCTGAACTAGTTTTAATTAGCTGTATGAAGAGCCATTAAGAACTGTATGTACAGTGTGTGAAGCATGAGTTTTTTATTTCAGAATTCCTCAGTGGCTCTGTCTGTCATGCACACAGTATCTTCAGTATTTGCATCCGAATGTGTGTGTGTGTACGGTGGTCTTATAGGCAGAGATGGCATTTTCTAGTCTATCTGATGCTGTGGCTGCCACCAGGGTTTGAAGGCGACATCTCAACAGGAGGGGACCAAGCCATCAAAGCCATCATGTACTTTAATTACAGGTAATCTCGACTCACAGACAACTCTTCCACTCCCTCTGCTCTTAAGAACTTCCTCCTCAATTACCAAAGTGCCTCAATTAGGCCCTAAATAAGCAGCGGACATGCACGAGGGAGAGATGGGCAAATTACAATAGAGAGGGTAAAAACAACAGGCCCTGTAAGAGCCAGTGTGATGCAGAGGCAATTAAAAGACAAAAAAAGTGTTCCTCCACGCAGGGCGAAAATGAGAAAAAAGAGAAAAAGGCCTTTGATGAGCTGGTTCTGAGCTAAGTGGAGCTTAAGAGGCGATGGTTGAGGAGAAGAAAGAACAAGAAAAGAGAAATTAAAGACAGTTGATTGGCAAGAGGGCTGATGTCACACTGTTTCCCTACAGGACCATATGTCGGGGGGGGGGGGGGGCACTCAGTCATCGAGGGACTGGAATGTGTAAGTCATGATTTCTATAGAGCAAGTAGGCGTCCCACCGGCAGCTGATTCTCTACAGTCTCTAGTGCTTTCCCTCACATTCATTATCCAACCAACCCCATACGTACTCCATCAACTGTGAAACTTAGTGGGCTTTTGAATGGACAAATGAAGACCCCGGCTCTTTTAATGGGCTAATTCTGTGTCTAACAAGGGCCCTTGTTAAAGGGAAATGCTTTAGCTGCAGCCGGCAGTTGAGTGCATTAGTCAATTAGCTCAAATCTAACCTGAAGCGATTGTCTGATGAATTAACGAGAAAGAAACACATCATCAAGGAATAAAATGAGAGGCTAATACACCTCTGTTTACGTGTTTGTTTGTGTGAGTGTGTGTGTACTCACAGTGCCTTTTATTCAGTGGACAGTAGAGTAATGGCTGGTTTGAAACTGATCTCGGTCCAGAGGAAGTTCATCAGTCATCGCTGTAAAATGGAGAAAGTGCTGGGCACCAGGATAAGCAATGACTTCATGGAACCTATGTTAAGAAGGAGAAGAAAACTGCACCTTTGCATTTCATACATATCAAAATAATTGGGACTGTATACTCAAAAAATACTCATCACTCTATCAGGGCAGCTCAGCATGTATCCAGGAGAGGGCAGTGTTATCCAGAGAAGAGGTGGGGACTGCACCCAGTGTTTGATCTGAGCAGATGTGTGCGAGGAGAATCATTAAACAGCATCTGTCCACTCAATTACCCCCTTCGTTAGTCTAATCCCAGTTTGCTTTTTCTTTTCTTTTTTTTTTTTTTTTACTCATACAGGGGTAATTAAATTCCCCATAAATTGAATCACTGTGTAAAACAAGTCACAGTGAAGGGGGCAACAGGCTTTCTAAAGGAATAATGGGAGGGCGAATACAGTAGGAAGTACTTAGGACTTGTGTTTAAAATAAGAATAGTCTTGGGTAATTAGACCCCCTCCATTGTGAGTAAGGAACAGCGTGCAAGATTTAGAAGGATTTAGTGGCATTTAGCAGTGATGATTACAGACTAGTGTTGCACGGTATACCGGTACTAAAGTAGTACCGCGGTACTAGAGTATTCCAAACAATACTATACTGCATTTGGAAAATACCGGTACTTTGAAATTGATTCAATTTATTAATTTAGTTAATTTATTTTACTCATTTATGCACACAAACGCCTTTCTTGTCCCTATTGGCGCACAGATTGCACAAGTGGTGTGTAAGACAACACCTGTATCAACATTCGCAGCTGGCGCACGTGAAAAAAGACAAGAGAAAGTCTGAATCGCAAAGAGAGACAACACGAGACAACACCAACTTGGTGAAACATTTGAGCAACCAAAATGTGACATCTGTACTGAGGTACTTACCGAACAATGATTTTTTTGGTACCGTTACACCCCTACTATTTATTGTTCTAAAGGTTTGTATCCAAAAGGACTTTTCCCTAGGAAAAGTACCAAAAAGTATTGAAATTCATATTGGTATCGGTACCGAAACAAAGATTTTGTTATCGTGACAACACTATTGCAGACTGCAACCAGCTGAAACCTCTACCAGTTAGAATTCCTCCAGTATTGATTGCTCAGGAGGAATTATTCGCAGACGTCTCTTTCTCTCCAAAACAAATGGCCCAAGTGATTAAATCCCGTAAAAACACATTAGTCTGTGTTAATTAGTGTTTCTCTGACATTATTCAGCACGTCAGAGACGAGCCACTAGCCCAGCATTTACTAATGTGTGCTCACTTTTTTCTCTGATTACTTAAGTTCCAGATGATTTGGAGGTGTTCACCAGAAGCTGAATCACCTGCAGAGTTCTCTTCTCCAAAATAAACAGACTCTGTGATTTAAACCACTGAATTAAGCAGTTTCATGTTAAAAAAAATCAATGTTTTAACCACTACAAGAAATACTTGTAGTGTAGTTCTACTATTCTACTTGGGGTTGACCATTTCTGATCCATTTGTGAATTTATTAATGCATGTTTGTATGTCAGAATGTCCTAAGGTTTAGTTTTAGTACACACTCTTTGTATATATCTAAGGAATAGTAACCTTATATTTAATTAATTAATTTTGTGTGTGCATTTTTTGGGATAAGTGTCTTTGTCCTTTCACTTTTTAAAATAATATTTTCAAATGTATGAATGGAAGCCTTACATTTTTGTAACTGCTTCTGCACTGTAATTTATTTTTTAATTTATATTTATATTTATATTGTAAAATGTAAAAACAATCTGAGTGGCTGCTAACTACGAAAACACAAATAGCCCTACCTAGAGCCAGTGTTTGGTGTGTCCATTCTGAGCTCCTGTAGAAACATGATGGCGCAACATGGTGATCTCTTGACAAAGACCTGCTCCATATGTAGAAAGAAACAGCTCATTTCTAGGTGACAAAAACGGAACATACTTACATCAAATTAAATTTCTGCCAATATATGCCCAAAAATCCTACACACTGGACCTTTAAGGGTGGTGGTGAAGCCAGTAGGAGAGTAAAACCTTCCAATGGAGGCGAGATGTTGGAGGTGGGGATGAGATGAAGAGGGTGGTGAAGATCTGGATGAGATGAGGAGTTGACTTTTGATGAGCTCGATCTAGGCATCGGATGTGATGACTGGAGCTGAATGGAGGAGGGCAGGATGATTGCCTAAAATGACAGCTGCCAGCAGCAGAGAGAACAGATTTAGTAGTTTAACAGCAGCGACAAGATTGTCTGATACAGATCGTGGCAAAATTTGATTGGTTTAAATGAAAGAGTGAATGCCCATAATCAGCTGGTGCAGGTGAGACAGAGAGGGTACTGTGAATGATTGATGCATAAAGATCTTCCTGATTGAACTTGCGCTGAGCTTCATGTAATGCAATGTAAAAGAAATAAAATCTGACAGTTCTTTTGCTCATAAATGCCCGTGAAGGCCTTTATTAGAATAATTGAATATTTGATAAAGCTAAGGATTTATAATAATTTACAAAATATTTCATGTTTTACCTCCACACAAATACATAAGATAGATTTGACTTTAAATTACATTCACAGTCCAAAATCTAAACGTTTCTGTAATTTGCTTGCTCTGTCAACAAGAACAAGAGGCCTGGTTCGAGTATAAAGTGACTATAAGAAAATCTCTATTTATACGATTAATACTGAAGACCAGAAGAGACATGATCAGACATGGACTAAAACAGAACAAGAGAGACAAAGCATTGACATGAAAGGACATCACAACTTATTGTAGCTGCATCAACACAATCACAGGAGAAGTTGACGTGAAACAGCAGGACAGTAGAAAACATAAAGAGCAGCAGCTTCGTGGTTTGTTTCATGAATGCAACATGTCCTTTCGTGTCACAGTCTGCCCTAACACCACATGTGCCTGCATAGAAAAACTCAGCATTCATAATGAGTGGAAATCGCAGAGGAAAAGTAAAACCCATCCCAGAGGTACGAAATCATCACTGCATGTCATAAAGGCTGCTCGACGAAAGTATCATCAAAAGCCTGCACGCACAGCCTTACATACTTTCTGAACAGTTGTGAACCTGGATAAAAAAAGACTAGAAAAAGCATTGTTTGTACTGATCAGGTGAGCGCAAGAGGAAATGTAACAACTGGAGCAAAGACGTGCTGTGCCTCATTCTCTAAATGTCAATGAGGTCGTCGCCGCTCTCGTCACTCTCCACAGTCAGTTGACGGGTCCACCACTTCTTCACCTCTGACCCCGAAGAAGCCTCATCGTTGACGGGGTTCATCTTGCACACGATGGACTTGACACTTGTGCGACCTAAGACAACACAAAGAACAAAGAAGTCTGATTCTTAACTTGTCAGCCAGTCATTTTTATTACTTGCCACCTGCAGCTCTATAGCTCATCTTGTCGGTCGGTTAGTTGGTCTATAAATATTTCACCACCCTTTAGCAACCACAGTTTTTGCCCTAGGAGGCTGAAATTTAGCCTGGAGGGAAAGTATGTGTGTCGATGTTTGTGTTTATGCCAATTGTCTACAAGATCGGCTTGGCAATGACCCAGATGTTATCAGCAAATTAAATGGCTATCTGTGGCTATAAGCTTCAAAGGTATGGATCAATAGGAGCCGACTACACCTACTGGTAGGTTCAGGCTGTTATCAGCCTGCCTAGTGAATGGCCATTACCAGTTCTTTGGGTTCACTTTCCTTAGGTGTAGGCAACCCGTTCTCACTCCAAAGTCATCAAAATCTGGTGCTTGGGCAGTGACGGTTGCGTTTAGTTTAACAGTGCTTCGTAGCGTCAGGGGGAGATGCGTCAGCACAAGACCGAAAGCTAAAGAGGCAGAAGTCCAAGTAGGGCGGGTGGGAATGGTGCTGGATGGGTCCAACAAACGCTGACTTTCACCTGGAAGAGCGGCGTTCATGTCCTGTAAGATTATAAAGCCAAACCCTGTTCTTTTTTCCTGAACCCAACCATTTGCGTAGGTTCTTGAAGGAAAAAAACATCAATTCATGGTGTTGTACTGACGTAGTGCGTTTATTTTGAAAGAGACTGTGTGTAAACGTTACATTTCCTGTGAAAATGGAAGTGTATTTTGAAATTAGACAACGTATGTAACAGGCAGAACTTGACACGGCGTCCCAGAACGTCAACAACCAACACACTCAGGGTACCTTGCACGTCGTATCTGGATGTGGCGAGTCCATGACCAAACGTCAATATGTGACGAGGTTGGAGTTAGAATGTGTTGGTTTAGGCACCAAAATGATATGGTTCGGTTTAGGAAAAAATGTCTGGGTGTAAATATTGGTTTCACATGGGATTTCATTCCCTGGTCTTCTGGGTGAAAGTCCTGTGTTTGACCCATCCACCAACCCTTTCTTCAACCCTATATGTGGACTTTCTTGCACATGGGCGAAAGTCCCATGAAAGCCCTTCCTGGCAGAAAGTTTCATTTCAGCTACAATAACAGAAACAGTAAATGGCTCATGCGGAAACACAACTCAGTGGGCAAAATACAGTATAAAGCTTCTGTCAACCTGATAAAGGCCTTCTCAACCTAACAGTAAGTGTGGCAGGCCCTTACTAACCCTATCTACGATGCTTATCACCACTGATAACGGCCATTTAATGGCCTGATGACAGCCAAATCAGGGGGCTATTGCAAATTTGTGCTTCATAAAATTCATCATAAAGAGGGCCCTTGCTTCCTGCCAGGCCACTAGTGTAAATAAGAGTGTTTTAAACTTACCTTTCTGGATAAATAACCAACTTTTTTCTGTAATACAGGGTCACAAACAGCTTTGATCTAACAGAACGTCCTCTACAGAACTGTGCCATTTGCAACAGACAGTATACAGAGGCGTACACACCTGCAGGCAGCCGCCACTGTCCCAGCTTCCTCTGTGGTTTCCCCAGGTCTGAGGAGTCCTGCCTGTAGCCTCCTCTGTCTGACAACGTGGGGCTCAGTAGCTGCTGGGGACCACTCATCTAAACAAAGCGAAGATATCCTTTGTTTCACCACTGTGAGTGCACACCTGCAGATTATATGATGTGCTGGCTACATATCCAGCTGTGAGCATGTGTGAGTGTGTACGCAGAGCTGGTATGGATGCGGGGCTTTACCTCAGGCTGCGAGGGGTTGTCTGGGTTGTTAGCGTTGTGGTCCTCACTTGGCAAGGTGGTCTCTATGCTGGGAGGGTTGAGGAAGCGGCTCAGCTCCTGCTGCTGGCTCTCTCTCAGGCTGTGGATGATGCTACACGACTGCTGCTGCTTCTGCAAGGGCACAGGGACGTACAGTCTGTGGTCAGTGTGGGATACTGTAGTTTATACTGTATATTTATGTTCCTTAAACACTCTGGGAATGAGTATGTTTTCACAAGGGATGTTTGTGTGTTTACTGTTGAGTAAACTAACCGCGCGGATGCGTTTGAGGCATTTCTTGAGCCACATGCGTATGGTCTGCTTGGCAACCTCTTCTTCAATGGTGTATTCCAACTGTTCCCTGGCCAACAGCTCCTCCAGCTGGAGAGACTTTCTAATGTCCACTGAGCGATATGACAGCATGCTGTATGATACACACACAGACACACGGCCAAAAGAGGGACATATTTAGTGGAATATAATTATGCTTGTGTTAAATCAAAGCTTATCAGGGCTTTAAAGGAACACTTGATCTGCCAAATGACCATTTGTACATATTAATTACCAGCCCCATGTTACACTGAACTTTTCTCTCACATGCCTCTGGTAAACAAATCCAAAAACAAAGTATTCTTGATAAATAGAAGTCATAGGGGTCCGCTTTAGTCAACTATATCAAAACATTAATTTACAAACTGTCACACAACTCATGCAGTATAATTAAAGTCTCATTTATCCAGTCGTATGCTCTGTACTTCCCAAACAGACAGCCCTTTCCAACGGGGAGCTAAACTAACACTAAATCTTATCTATGCTCTCTTCAAAGCCAGACTCCATTGAGAAAACCAGTAATTTAACCTTGCTGAACACAGGAGGTGCTCGTCTATTGCTGCTTCAATAAGTTAGTTTGTTTTATTGTGTGACTTTGGTGATTTAAAGGGTCAGTTTGGATTCAGCAAAGTCACCAAATCACACAAACAAACAACTGGTGGAGGTAGTGGTAGAGTAGCAGCTCCTGTGTTCAGCTAGGTAAAATTACTGTTTTTGTCTATTGAGTCTGGCTTGAAGAGAGAATAGATAAATTTCACCTTTAGTTCAGTCCCCCATTCAAAAGGGCTGTATGTTTGGGAAGTACTGAGCATACTACTAATGTGTTGTTATAGTTTGGCTGTTGTTAAACTGTTAAACCTGTAGACTTTTCTCACTTTTTGGATTCTTCATTCGCTCTGGAGGCATGTGAGATAAACAGATTTTCTTATGAATTCAACATAACATGGGGTGAGTAAGTGATATACACGTGGTCATTTGAGGGACTGACGTATCACTTTAAAGAAAAACATTACACCGGTAGAGCTGTACAAGTTAATGTAGCACAGTAGCAGCACCAAACCATCAAGACCTAACTGAAGTTTAGAGACTTCTAAACCCTGAAATGACTGGATGTAATATAAATAACTCTACACTTAATTGGTTCTCAATCAAGGGGTGTCAAGTTGTTTCTGACATTCAGTCCCCATTTCTCTTTAGCAGCAGGTTTTGCTACTTCCTGTGCAAAATATTGAGTTTCTCCGGTGATTATCGAGAATTTCAATTAGACAGAGAGGGTGTAAATCTCCAATGCAGCTCCACTTAAAGGTTTAGAGATAGAACTATTATATATTTACACTAATAAGTTGTCTGGTGGAGATTTAACACGTCAGTTTATAAAAAATTCCAGGAGGGTGGTTTCCAAGTGGTGTGTCGCAGTCCAAAAGTGTCAGGTTTGTAAAGAACACTTTATTTTGAAGTACAGTTAATTTCCAGCACAGAGCTTTCATTTTGAAGTGCCGTCTCCTGCTGTGGAGTGAGTAAATAACGGACAGCTACGTAACAGAGATAGCAAACTAGCTTGATGACATGGCCAAATGCAAGTATGACTCTGAATATATACATTGTGTGGACCCTGAACTAATGACTTAGAAGACAACTGGACCCCATAGCTGGACCAGTTGGGGACCACTGGTGTAGAGTTCTGTGTTTACATTTACATTGTTAGTGTCTTACTGTAGTAGGAGCCCTTTAAATACACTGTATCTGTGTGAAGTAGTGTTCCATGGTCACCTGAGCACATCGTGGAAGGTCACATCCCCTCCACTGTGAAGCCGCTCCATCTCATAGCACATGTGTTTGAACAGCAGCTTGTCTTTGTCCAGGTCCACCTCAAGCCTGCCTCGGAGCAGACGGAGCAGGAACTTCACCCTGGATGTGGGGATCACACCCTGGGGAAACAGTCGTGGGGTTATTTAAGAGGCTGTGACCTGACTCGAGTCACTCAAGAATTTTGGGTGGCAGTGGGGTGAAGAGCCTTGGGTCTGATATGGAATGTTGGAGCACAGTTATGACTAGTGAGTGGCAAAGGTGCTTTCATCTTCTCTATATTATCTTCTGCTCATAGCCATATGATCCTCGCCCTCCCTCGCCTCTGCTGTGTCCTCGTCCTCTCGCCTATTGCTAATTTCTCACCTCCCGTTTGTCATCCACCATGTTCCAGATGATCTGGAAGTGCCTCAGGTCATTATAGCTCAGCAGCTGGTCCTCCTCGGTGGAGTAGAACAGTGAGAAGTTCTCCACGATGATGGCTGCAGCAAAAGCGAGAGATGTTAATACTCAGGGATGCAAATATAACATGTTGGCAATAAACAGATGCATCAATGAAAGTGTTTGTATATAACAATGAATGGCAGTTATTCTGGTGCCCTTTAGAGCTCTAAATATCCATTTATTGTATTTATGAAGCCATGAGTCAACCACCCAGGCTTCTGAAAGACTGAATGAATCATATCTCAACAATCGGTCGAAGGAAACCCAGACTGTTAGTAATGACTACTTGATTCTCTAATTTGCTTTCATTCATTCAACAATTTTTTTTTTCCTTCCATACTTTTTTGTTGCATTGCTGTTTTTGTATGTGTGATTTTAAGCTACTTTTTCTTTTCACAATAAGGTCAGTAGTGGCTCTCGTATCATAATAAGTACATGTGGTTTATGCCTCACCATCTGTGTCTGTCTAGGCAAGATTACAATCCATATAAAGCTGGAGGAGTACACATTGTATATTTAATTCATAAACCTGTAGATAGATGGTTTGTTTCCGTCTTAAAGCTCATGCTCATTTTGATTCTGCTCCTGCCCTTCTGTGTAACCCCTCTTCCTCTTTCTGCCATGTCACTGTGTCTCTCTACCTCCTCTAATATGGCAGCTGCCTCTAATGTGAGAAAGAATTAATTTCCACATGAAGGGGTCTGAACTTTGTGCTGAGATGACAAAACTCCACGTAGTGTGCTTTATGAGCTCTGCAGTGTTGCACCACATAAAGCAGCATGAAGCAGAGCCCTTGTTGTTGCCAAAGCACAAGTTTGTTATGGTTTTGAATGGCTTTTGTGCATTCAGAAAAATGTGTCCTCAAACTGAAGGTGAGTTCCCATGTTGTGGCTGCGTGAACTAGATCTGGTCCCCACCAGTGTTGAGGGAAACACATTACATAAGCCACTTTTACAATGCCTGTTCAAAGCAGGAATGTCATGCCATAATTTTGCCTCGCCTTTTTGTGTAAAAGGTACAGTCGGGGGGGACAGAGTTGTCTCGCCTTTAAGCTGGCTATAGAGCTAGCGACAACGCTGCACTGTTGTCTGTGTAAAAGGGACAGCTGGCAGGACGGGACCATGGAGAGGATGGGTGTGAGGTTCTGATGACAAGTTATATGTGCGACCCACTGCTGAGAGATTTAAAAAGCAGCTAGAGGCAGTTAGCAGCTAACTCAAAGACAAAGAAGAAGAGCATCAGCCAAAAATGTCCTCACTGGGGGGGACAATGAGGTCTGGGAGCTCTTAACCTTTGAGCAGAGGGCAAGATTAGCCGCCAAATAACAGGGCCAGTGCCATTGTGTTACATATCAAGCCTCTTTTGCTTGTGGGATGCTATCTAAAATTACACCCTGGGATGGCATGATGGCAAGAAGGGCTTAAGTACTTTAATTTACTTTACTTGTATCACACTACATTTGTGTGTAATGCATTACTGTTCCCACACTCAGTAATTACTTGCTTGACATATGTTCTTCAATTACTGGCACAATGGGTGGATAGAAAAAAATCATCAAAGAAGCAGGAAACAGAAATCACCGTCTAGGGCACCTGTGCAGAGGCTCCTCAGCCTTTGTGTTCTTGTGCTGACTCTGAGGAGGAACAAGTTTAAGGAGCTCCTCCTCAGGAGGTATAACTGCTGCTTTAGTGATAAACCTGTCAAAAAGACGAGGCTAGTTTGCTGTAAAGCCATGGTTTGAGGTGCGAGCGAGTCGAGTGAGAGTTTGGCCCATTTATCGTAATTCAATGACATATAAACATGTTTTTTTTTTTTTTCTGTTGAAGTCTCTCATTGTTTAATGATGTCAGGAAGGCCTGCCACTTAAATTATTTTATTTAGGCTTATCTATGTATTATTTTGATGCCAATATTGTTTTATATATTGATATAGTTTCACTTTGAGGAAGTTATACATTACTACCAGTGCCATCTTGATTCTCATATTTACCCTTGTTTTGTGATGATATGTGTGCGTATGTAAGGTATAACGTCATATTGTTAACTGGCAATTATGTGAGAGTGCACCTCAGGTGATGCTGCGGAGTAACACACAAGGCGAGGATATAAGGCTGTCTGAGTCACTGGCTTCGTTTCAGTCTCCCCTATAAACATACTTCTATTGGAAAGCACATTCTGACTTAATCTGAGCCGTCTGTCTATTTAATTGCTATCTTACTGATGTTATTTCCTATTTATCATCTTGATTTTGGCTTTGGCCTTTTTATTTTATCTTTTACAAGGTAACATTTTATGACATGTTATTTGTTGTATTCTCCTTTTGATTTAAATGTGTTTAGTTTTATTGTACAGCACTTTGTAACTGTGTTTTGAAAGGTGCTATATGAATAAAGCTTATTAATATTATCATAAAAGTAATGCAAAAAATTACTTTCTACTGGAAGTGATTAAGTAAAGCAATGCATTACTTGTTCAAAAAAGTAGTGAGTTTTGAGTGAGGACCAAAACGCTGGTACCCACAATGTTATCAATACAAGAATACCCACACACACTGACCTACGAGTAGGTTGAGCATAATGTAGGCTATGATGACATAGAAAGAGCAGAAGTAGATGAGCGCTCCAGCGTAGTTGCCACAGTCGGTCTCCCAGTAGCGATGTTTATCAGGGGTGCAGAACGGGGCCTGAACCTGTGGACAGAAAAAAAACATATGGGGTGTTAAAACATATCAAATGATCACTGGAATGTAAAGGTTCAGTTCATCCAAATTCCCCCCCAAAAACTGTCTTTATTTATGAAGTGATATCCAGCCATGTACAGTAAACAGCCACGTCAGCAGTTTTCACTGGGGCTATTTCTTTGCTAGAAAGTGGCTCTGGTGAAAACTGCTGACAGTGCAGTCTGTGGAGTATACAAAGTTACACAACTGTGAGTAACCAGAGTAACTGTTAATTCTGCTGTGAGCAAAACAAAAATCTATTCGCCTCCATTGTGTTGGGATAGCGGCAGAAAATTGAGGTGGAGCGACCCTTGCAACACAAATGTGTTCACAATATTCAGTATTTTTCTATATATGTAATAGATAGTGGGATCTTTTGTCTGTGGCGATGTGTGCTGGACCTACAGCCCATCTTACCATGCAGTCATGCATGATTTTATTCCAATCTTCCCCTGTGACAATACGGAAGAGAACCGTGATAGCCTTGCCCGCTGTGGAGAAGTTGGCATGCCTGCGACGAAGAGAGACAGACTGGATCACACGGCTCTATAAAATGTGTTTTACTGCACGTACTACACACAGCCTGCAGTGCTCATCGGCAGGAACAAGCAGGGTGTGATCAATAAACAGAAGATTGTAATCCTCACCGGTTGATGTTCTCTCCATATTTAACAGTTCCAAAGAGAACAACCCCGGCGAACGCGTAGCAGAGGAGGAGGAGGAACATGCCCACGATGATGAAAAAGCTCTTGTACATGCTGACTACCACAGTCAACAGCAGCATCTTCAGTGTCACCTTGAGTCATCACACACATTCAGAGGCACATTTTATGGTTAGAATACAGATTCTTTTTAGGGAAAAGTCACTGAATTGAGTATTGTCTCACACGCAAATATACTTACATGCTTCCCACAGATCGTAAAGAATCTGAAGACGATCACGCATGTGCCCATCATGTAGGTATATGCATTCTAGAGAGGGAAATGAGAGTTATTTGCTACTTAAAACTGGCTTAATAATATTAAGACTGTCTGGAGTGAAGATTTAATGTGACAGTAATTTGTCTGACCAGTAAGGAAAAGTGCAGGACTATCCAGATGACACCTAGTGATGTGACCAGCAGGTCATAGCGGTTCCGTCTGCTCTGCCAGTAACCTGCTGGAGACATGGCTATCAGCTTCATGGTCACCTGGGTAAAGACACCAACAAGTAACATCAGACAGACGTTTTAACGTAGAGGAGGCAAAGTAAAACTTGATGGACGAGTAGATAAAGCACAACAGGCTCACCTCCAGTACAAATATAAATGTGAAGACCACCGACATGGTGGCGAGAGGAAATGTTACTTGATCGTCTACGTCCCACTGGAGAAGAGCAGATTCACATGTGTCAATTCATATAACATTAACTGAACCTGATATGCAAAAGGACTAATAAGTCATAGGAGGTAGAATGAATACATAAGAAACACACATAAATGAAATGACATGATGCATATGAGGCTTTACCTTGACTGAGAGCAGCACTGACTGTGCCAACACCAGAACAGCAATGCCCCGTTTGAAGAAGGGATGCTGAGTGATGTCATACATCTTGGCTCGGAAACCTCCGTTTTCTGTCAAGCAGATAGAAGACCACATTTATTTATTGATACCCAAACAGCTATAACAAGATGTTTCTATGGAAATACAGTCAGGGTGGAAATCTCTGATCAAATCTGTCGTCATATTTGAATGTCTAAACTGGCTGCAGCAATGATCTTGACAAGTCAGCCAATGCCTGAAGCTGTTGTAGTATCTCCTTTTGTCCTGCAGATGGCAGTCATGGACTGTTCAGGTGTCCTTATCTGTGTCCTAATTGTGCTACTGGGGCCTTATTACAGAAACATTTTGAAGTCTGAAATCCTGTCTTATCTCAGTTAAGGATGACATTTACTTTTGTTAGAAACATGTCTTTCCTAACACTATTGAGGGAAGAAAAAATCTTATCCTAGGACAGGAATGGAGCTATTACAGAACAGTTCTAACTTAGGGATATCTCAAGTCGGGAATCCTGAAAAACAATGGCATAAACACGGTCCTAAATTTAAGATAACTGCCAAAAGCAGCACTGTTGTTGGTCTTTATGGCAGATCAAATGCCTTGTGTGAGAAAGCTGCTCTTGATTGGTCAGAATTTCCATGTGGGAAAAATCCAGGAAGTAAACCAAACGTTGAAGAAGAGTACACTTGCAAGATAAATGTGACACTTTCTAATGTCACAATGGAGGGACAACTACGCAGGTTGATTTTAGCGCTGCTCATCGTGGACTATATTGCTGTCATTGTTCATTTTAGTCAAAGCATACAGTTTGAAAACGAGACGCGGCTCCAACTAGAAAACAATGTTTTGATGCATTGGATGTGCTGAATATGCATATTAAGGCAGTACAGGAGGAGGTGCACATTAATAATCCTCCAGGACTGTAACATGCTCATGTTTAACCCAAACAATGTGTCATGTGACTGCAGTTGGTTCAGATCCAGGTCGGAACACGTTCTCACCACAAACGAACCGCACCAGAGTTCGTTTGTAACCGGACCGAGACCACCTCTTCAAGAAGGTCTCGGTCCGGTCGTTTTGGTGCACACCTGAGTATGATTGCTGTGCTCACACCTGCCCAAACGAACATTACTTAGGGGGTGAACAAACTTGAGTTTGATTAAACCGAACCAAACAGGGCAGGTGTGACAGCACCTTAACATGTGATGTGAATGTGCCTTAGATTTAGTGAATTTTACATATGGCACAGTGAGGTTTCTGTTACATCACTGTCTGACTCTGTATTTCAGTATCTCCTAAAACAAAAATTAGATCACACCGGAGATGCAGAGTCTTCTTTCAGGTCCATTAGGAAACTGAAGCTGCTTTAAAAAGGAATGAGAGGAGCTAATGTGATTGGCCATTACTGAAGCCCACCCTAACTCTCCCTAATGATGCTATATTCTGTTCTCCATTTGTCCTGTTCCAGCAGGAGGACTGTAACTGCGCTGCTGGTTTCCAAAATTGCAAAAATTAATTTCCCCATTGACATATTCTCACATTTCAAGTTTGTGCTTGTTTCATGTGTCAGCTTTCTAGCTTTGAATGGGACGAACACTGTAACATTTTATCCTTGTCATAACAAATCCTTGTTAGAGGAGATTCTTGTTTCAGATCCTTGTTAGAACTGTCCGTAGTGTTCACTTCAAAGCAGGAAGTTTAATGTCAAATGAACATGAAATAGAAATTTAACAGTACATCATGTGGCAGGCGCAATAATTACATGACTGCTGACCACAGAGATTACTGCAAGTACTTTGAGTAGGACTGTGTGAGTAAAGGCCAGCTCAGTGCTGTAATGATCTGCCAGTAGTGAGTGAGTGGCGCCAGTGCCGAGGGCCTTTGGATGTGGATCAAAGTCAGGTTGATACTGCTGGTGTCAGCGGCACTGCTGACTAAAACTGAAGCCATTGATTTTCTGTTAGTTCTCAGCCTCAACTGTACTAACAGGCGATTTCCCACACTGCCTCTGAGGCACTTCAAGTATTCTCACGACTCTAATCACAGGAGGAAGAGCAACAGTTTAAATGTTCATGTGTTGAAATGTGATCGGCAGCAATACTGGGTTTTGTCCACTAATGTGAATTTAGTCAGGATAAAGCCGGTAGCAGGGTTCCCACACATTTTACCAATGAGTTTTCAAAACTTTTTCACAACATTTTACCCCAATTCTATGACTTTATTTAGTGTTGTAGTTTAAAATTGGTGGGCCTATATCAGAGGTCGTTACAACGGGCCCCAATGCACGCTATTATGATGGGCCCTAAGGCCAGGAGGTTACTTGTTACGCACCTCAGCTACCTACTGTATAATCTCATCGTTACATGATCAAATAGACTTGACTGGACAGACTTGACTGGATGCCACACAGCTGGTTGAATATCAGCAAAGTTCCCCTGCTTCCCTTCACTGGTTCCTGTACAGCAGGGTCTTTCTTTGTTTCACTGTTATAATCATTAAAAAGCAAAAGCAGCATGTGTATACATTCAGTAGGCTATATCTTCAGTAGCTAGCTAGCTAACCCTACACTTTTCAGGGTTTGATTTTGGTTTTGGAACAGGGAAGAAACGTATATCTTTTTCCAACCTCTCCAGGTAACGAGTATCATTAATACACGACGTGCCCCAGACACAACATTTAGCTCCAAATCCACAACACCAGCCTGAAAATGAAGGAAATCTGAATGATCATATTTCAAATATTAGTCAGAACACTGTACAGTATATTCCAAACTTTTCCATTTCCATGCCTTGATAACAGTTTTTCTAATTTCATAACTTTTCCAGGAATTTCATGACTGGGGGAGCCCTGTGGTGGTTTCTTCCAACATGTGAAAATCTGATACATATGCTAAAATAAATTTCCCTTTGAAGGCTATGACATGCATGATTCAGTGTCTGCGCCATTCCCGTTATCTGTCCTCCCCTTCAGCTTTCCATTACCGCAGCTAGTCATCATCATTTGGGTGTCACAATGAATCCCTGGAGGCATCAATCCCCCAATGAAAAACAAGGACTATTAAATATGGATTAATCATGTAGGTGCTACTTAAGAATGCACAGGCACACCACATGATCAGTCAGGGGATAGGGCAAAGACGTGACTCAAATATTGGTGTGCCTGATACTCTATCACTGCTTTGTGTTACAGAATGATTGCCAATGCATTTGGTGTATGGGTTTTATTTTTGTGTGAGCACCTGGGCGAGGGGGCAGGTGGAGAGGCTGGGCTATCTTCAGTCGACTCTTCAGATCCTCCCATCTCCTCTGGTCCACTGTGAGGAGAGCAGTGCCCTGATGGTGGGACACAACACAAATGAATACCAAGAGACTGCAGCATCACCAGTTTGAATTTGATGTCTGCTTCTCTAGTCTCATCACTGCCTCATGAAGGTAAAAACATGCACAAACACTGCACCTACATGTGTGGCTCTTACCTTGTTCTCATTGAAGTTTGCGATGACGACGCCTACAAACAGAGTGAGTCCAATCATGCATCCCAGAAACACAAAGACGTGGATGTAGATACCATGGATCTGCAGGCGCAGAGTTATCTTAACTGTTACAGTGGTCTTATGATGTCAGAGTCAGAACACTATCATAGGAGTGAGTGGAAAGGTAAGGTAAGGTAAAGTGAGGTGAGGTGAGGTTCGTACCGGTCCAACGCGATGAATAATGACATCTCGGACCTCCACCCAGCCTTTGAGTGACAGCACTTCAAACAGAGCCAACATGGCATTTCCCACATTGTCAAAGTTAAAGTTACGAGGGTTGGCCCTGAGGAAGGACAAAATGGAAACATCAATCACTGGCTGGAGAAAGCAACCCTAAATCAAGCAGTCATAAAAAAACAAGCAGCTATACCAGACTCGTGGAACCCAGAAACCAGGTTTCTTCTCTCCAGGCTTTAGTTTCAGGTTGAGGTTTTTGGAAACGCTGACATTTATTCGAAATATACCGTGACAGTCGTCCTATAAACAAACAAAACAGTTGACGGCAGAAAGAATGAACCAAGTAAAATAGAAAAAGAGGGCTGTTATTGAATTGGTTGATGAAAGACTAACTCAAACTCATTTAATTTGCTAAAAAGATAAACAAACTGAGGATATGACAACAATATTGCGCTTATTTTTGCATAATTGGTTTAATAAGAACACCTTATCTCCCGTTCCTATCCTCATCTGCCTGTCTCAGTAGTTGAACTCTTTGCAACTCTATGTGCAAAGACAATAAAGTAGAATCCAATCTTATCTTAAGAATTAAAGTCATTATAGTTTGAAGACAATATGTGTCTCCTCATTTATATGCAATTTACAGGATGATATTATTGCATATTACTGATATCAGTGCATCCCCAGTTCTTGTCAGTTAACACTGGAAGTGAAATGATGCTATTATGAGAAAAAAACAAGCTGAAAGAAGTACAATGATTGTTAGGAAACCAGGATAAAAGGAACCGCCGGATTATTGATTTGACTGGGGAAACCCCTTGTACTGATTCAGCTTGTGGTCCTCTGCAGGGAGTGTGGGGTGGGAGGGGGGGTGGTTTAGCGAGGAGATTATGTTTCTTGCTGTACCCGTTTAAGGATATGGGGGTCGTTGCACTTGGCGAGCTTTCCGGCAAACAGTTGAACTCCAAAGCTTGCGAACACCAGCATTAGTGTGAGGAGCAGAATGGAAACCTGCAGGAGAATCAATCAAGAGTTTAAGGCGGACAGTTCAACATAATCCGAGCCTGTGAGATTAGAGAGCGAGCTAAGGATGTCAGACAGCTGTGGATGTAGAGACCTCAGCTGGGGAAAATCCAAGTCAGACCTGGAGAGAATCACTAACAATCGCAAGCTTCTGATAATATAATAAAATCCGTGGTAGGCAGAGCAAAAGGTAAGCAAAGCCCTGAAATGGCTGAGGATGTAATAATAACAAGAGCACAATCCAATAAAGGTGAATAAGATGCATTCATGTACAAATCCAAGTTGAATTTTTACACCCTTTAACCAATGTACTATAAATCATGAATACGTTACTGCCAACCTTTTTCTAATGAATATCACAGTTTTTCACACAACTCAAAGCTTTTTCACGACTATTTTCCAAACAGTGTTGCACTAAAGTCTCATCATTGCAAGTTTCAAGCTAATTAAGTTTAATGTTTCACTGCACTAAAGTAAAATGCAAACACATAATGACCTGCCAGATAAGGAAAACACAGGTAATGCTTTATTTTATGGTCACTTGGCTTTCTAATTATGTTCTTATGTTGTCTCTGATTAAAGGGAGGGTAAGTTAGGTCATTTTTAACCTGGACCCTATTTTCTCATGTTTTTGTATCTACGTGACTAATGGGAACAACAGCTTTTGAAATTGGTCCAGTAATGAGTGATAGTGCTGCAGCCAGCAGCAGTGAAACAGATTGCAGTGTGACCATGCAGGGCATTTATGCACTGTTCTTGTTTTGGACTCTGACAGGCTCAGATTGTTATTCTAAGTGTCTGACAACATAATGGAAAGGATCCCTACAGAGATAGACTTTTTTATTAAACCAGAAACAGCCCTGAAATCACTATCGCCAAACCCACCAGACTCCATTTAAGTAAGCGGTAATTTTATCATCCCAAAAACGCAATTCATTCAAAGTCAAAAGAAACACAATAAAACTCACAAAAGCTGTCTTGGTTTGACTTTCACAGTTCCAACAATCATCAACTCTGGTTTGGTTGAAATACACCATTTATTTACCCAGTTAGGTGTGAAAATATGCTGCCTCTATACATGCTAAAATCTATGTTTATCTAAATGAAGTCTGGTGGGTTTGGCAATTTCCTTCATTTTCAGGCTGGTTTTGTGGATTTGGAGCTAAATGTTGTGCCTGGGGCACGTCGTGTATTAATGATACTCGTTACCTGGAGAGGTTGGAAAAAGATATACGTTTCTTCCCTGTTCCAAAACCAAAATCAGACCCTGAAAAGTGTAGGGTTAGCTAGCTAGCTACTGAAGATATAGCCTACTGAATGTATACACATGCTGCTTTTGCTTTTTAATGATTATAACAGTGAAACAAAGACCGACCCTGCTGTACAGGAACCAGTGAAGGGAAGCAGGGAAACTTTGTTGATATTCAACCAGCTGTGTGGCATCACAGTGTGCACATATGAATGGTGCTTGACTTCTGCTAGTCCCGCGGCGGAGGTCCAGGTGTTGGCAGCAGCACGGGGGTGAAGTCAAACACCGTTCATCTGCACACACTGTGATGCCACACAGCTGGTTTATTATCAGCAAAGTTTCCCTTTATATTCATTGTCTTGTGTGGCGATCAGCAGTGATGTGGTGGTTCACTTTTACACTGTGATCTGTAGCCTATAGTTCGGCTTTAGCTTCTAACTATCTTTGTCTTTTTAACCTGTTGCTGCTGCTGAGTCAGTTTGACATCCTGGATATATCCTTCAAACACAGACTGTAGACCCCTCTGTCTGCTTCTCTCTGGAATCACTTTTTCATTTCTCCAAAAATATGATAATATTTCTTCAGGGAGTGCAGTTAGGTACAGTGTGGGTTCCATGCTTACTCTGACAGCTTGTTGGACCATCACAAAGGGGCAGGGCTATGTGAAAGGTCAATTTTGGGGCTGTTCCTTGTTAAACAAAAATGATCCATAATGTTGTCAGACACTTCAAATAATAATTTGAGCCTGTCAGTAGCAAAAACAAGCACTTTTAGTGGACACTTAAACACAAAAAATGGGTACCAGGTTGAAAAATACAAAAGTCACCCTTTAAGTGGCCCAAAGTTATCTAAAGAGTAAGAAGAGTGAACTATGTTTATGCATATGCATGCAGTGCAGTAAAGTGTAAGTAATTAACCTCAACATCTGATGTAAAAAAATAACTTGAATACTTTAGCTTAGCTAGTAGACTCTAAAAATACTTTCACTATTCTATTGTACACAAGTGGAAATTGTGGTTAACCACTAACCAGGAAAATCTCCTTGAATCCTTTGAGAACCTCCCGCACCACCTTCCTCATCTGGGGTACCAGCTTGAAGATCCTGAGCGGACGCAGGCAGCGCAGCATCATCAGCAGCTGAGCCCCAGACTCAGGAGGGACATCAGGAGGCAGCCAGCACAGGAAGATCAGGCTCACCTACAGAGGAGACGCACAGCAAGGACAGAGATGAATGATTTCATTTACATCAACAACCTTTTACCGTCCCTTATCACAACCAACAGAGACAGATGTGTTCTACTGCAACAGCTAGAACAAAGACTAAGTCCATCTTTTGCATAATCTTCATGCAAATTTGATGAACATTAGAAATTGAGTTATTTCGTAAAGCTAATAAAATGTGAAAAATGTGGACAGTGAGGCCACCAAACTGAATTAGGTAATTTATAGTCATTGGCGACTATTTAAATGAGACAAATTACATGTGATTGGTCTTCCCTCAAAGACTTTTCCAGTATGATTTCACCATAATGACTTTTTTCTATTTAAATAAAGCTGCACTTCAATCGGACGAGATTTCTCACAAGATAGATGAAGATATCCATGACTCCTCCAAAGTCTCTGATGACAGCTGTGGGGGTGAAGAACAGCCCGTCGGCCATGATCTTCAGGTTGAGCTCGATGCTCATGAAGATCACGAAAACGTACTCCCCTATCTGAAACAGAGCGCAGGGGTTTAACAACATCTGTTCAATCACGCATCTGCTTGATTGCCTCTGCAGCCATTGATCCATCTGCTTTCAATACCTGCAGTGTTGGGACATGCATGACCCTGGTGAAGGGTGATTCAAACATCATAGAGATGCAGGAGCAGATGGTTACCACGATCATAACCCAGTCCAGATAGGTGACGAGGCCCAGAAGATCGCTGCAGGGAGACACGCATTAACACAGAGTTTTTGGGAATTTACACAGAGAAACAGTAAGTATGTCAAGAAAGCTTTTTGGTTTGCAAACCAGCAAATACTCAGGGATAATTCAAGAGAAAAAGAGAGGGAGCAGACAAAGAGAGAAGGGAGGATATGTGAGGAGAGGTATCAGAAAGTGAGAGCGAATAAATCTTTGTGTGCGTGTGTGTGCGAGCAGCCCAATCTGTTCTTCAATGGGATGTCAGTGAAAATCCCCTGGCACCAACAGTATCTGATACAAAGCACTGCCTCTCACTTTAATAATAAGACTCGGTGCTCGGCTGAATTACGATCAGGTTGCATAATGGGTGAAATCTATTTCACAGCTCTTCACCTTGCAATTTTCATTCCTTACCACAGGGTTCGGGCGAGCGCGACGGGCAGGTAATAAGGTGCAGAATTAATAAGTATTCCACTGTTGTAGAACGGACAGATCAATAGAGAGGGAGGGAATCAATAATTCATCGCACTTACTACAGCTGGTGGTATTTGGTGTTCTTCACTGCTCCTGTTATCGGGTCAGTTTTGGATCTAGATATGAATTCATACAAATGAAATAAACCGTCAACATCTTGACAGAAAATAAAGCTTTTATGAGACAATCTCATACAAAGACATTCATCCTTGCTGCTGATGTACTGCAGATTAAACACAGTAAAATGTGATGCAACACTGGAACAAGAAATCACACACACATGGATAAAGCCAAATGTTTTTTGGTGGAGTTTACTGATTGATAACTAAATGCTTAAGTCCAATTTGTGACCATTCATTCACAAGAAGCCTTTATCCTCTTAAGCCCATACACAGATACAAGACCGATCTTACACATTGAAGCGAGCTCGAACAATCATCCTGCAAAAGTTCCTGAAGCGGTGCTCCCGCCCCACGATGAACAGAGGTTTATCAAAGTAAGGATGATTTTCCCTCAGTTCCTCCTCCTGGACTTTTCTGCTCGACCAAACAAGCACAGAGATGAAGCAAACACCAGTTATATAGGTAAACACCAAGGACTGAGTGTACAACATAAGGGCAGGGACACATGGCGCATTTTTTACTACCTGGAAAACATGAGGTCGGGCGCAGGGTGCTACTCATGTGCCTATTCTGTGCCAACTTTCAAGGGCGCGGAGGCAGGTTGCCCCTGATGTTGCTAAGCAACCAGCACCGTATCTTAACCTACTTACCATAAATTGCAGGTTTGAAGTTAGGAGCTGATCTTCTTCCAGGCGTTGTATTAAAATATTGTCTGTGGAACAGATGTCAACCTCTGGGTATCTGGGTAAGCTCCATGTTTATCATAGACTGATACTAATTAAAGAAAAGAAAGATGCGATTGGTTATTCCTTGTCATATGACATGCGGTTATCTCAGGATAAAGCCTTCACCCACTGACAAATAGGTGCTTTGGGAATGCTTACGTGCCACAACGGTGTTGCTCTCGCTCTTGTAGATGCCTTCTGCACATCTACACTGATGACAATGGATTTGAGGGTGCAAAAATGCGGCATGTGTCCAGGCCCGAGATATTTACTTTACAGTGTGATATTGGGTCAATGTGTGTGTGAATACCTTTTCATCTCTGCTTGTTCTTTCTTTTCTTGGATCATCTTGATCTCACTGTCCTCTCTCTGTGCGTTACGATAGCGTACTGTACTGGAATGCTGAAGTAAGAGACAATGAAGTTATGAAGTTGTTTTAATGAATACTGGTGGTGGAATACATAAGCAACATCAAGAAATAATTTGGATTTTTTACAGTGGGGTTATATGGCATACTTATCCATAGTCAGTGTATGACATATAGTAGATGTCAGTCATCACGCCCCAAGTTTGGAGAAGCAGGCTGGAGTCCGACACAGAAGCTAAGTAATGTACTGCTGTGGATGGGGGCAGCAACAAATTGTATTTTAGCCACCTAAAAAGAATCCTAACAAAAAAAAAAAAAAAATCAACATGACTTTAAGTGTACGCTATATTGACAGTATTTTCACAGTTTTACCTTTCCATCAGACAGCCTGTTCCGACAGGGAACTTGTTAACAGCTTCAATTCCCCACCTATTCTCTCATCAAAGTCACCAGACTCCATTGACAAAAACAGTAATTTAAGCCTGCAGAAGCTGCTGGGCTACCGCTGCTTTGATCAGTTAGTTAATTTGTGTTTTTGTGCAACTTTGGTGAATCTGGATTAACCCTTTTAAACACCAAAGTCACACAACACAAACCAAATAAGTGTTTGAGGCAGCAGTAGACCAGCACTTCCTGTGTTCAGCAATGCTAAATCACTGTTTTTCTCAATGGAGTCTGGCTTTGAGGAGAGTTATATAATGGCTTATTTTTTCCATTGGAAATCACTGTCTAACTGCAAGGTAAAATGGTGAAAATATTCTCAATGTAGCATACACTATTTGGACGGGATTAGTTTTACATAGGTACGTGGGGTAAAGTAATAATTACCAGAGATTTTAGTCCCATCCGAATGTGCCATGTCAGTAATCATTATCGCACAATGTCAGTAAAGATTACCGCGACTTAGGGTCCTGGAAAATTACCTCAGGTAATACTAATCCCATGCGAACAGACCAGCAGTAAATATGTGTGTGGATATTTCGTCATATCCTGTTTAAAAGTGTTTTTTTGCAGATTTTCAAGCACGGAGGCTCTTGAAGAAGCACTCTGTTTTGCACTTCACAGTCGGAAAAGTCCGTGTGAAACCTCAGGTACTGTGGGCCTACGACGAACATGATTCAAAACCAAAAGAAGGTCCCATCTTCTGTGTTTTGCCTGGAAGGAGTGTGGTACGCCAGGAAGCAACGTCATACGCACATGACGACAGGAGGGGACGGCGGTGCATGAATGGATTTACCTCTCCCACTTGTGGTAGTTTTACTGATATTTCTTATCCCCTGCGAATTGGCCATTAATATTACCGATGTCCTGTGGTAAAGTGACATTTCCCCAAGTGCCCATGTAAAACTATTCCCGTCCGAATTGTGCTTTAAACTAATATTGATTTTTTTTAGGTGGCTAAAATACCTTTTGCTGCTGACCCCTCCACAGCAGAACATTACCTACCTTCCATGTCAGATTCCAGCATGTGCAGAATGACATTTGTCTATGGATAAGTACCCCATACAACTCCACTTCAAATAATATGAACTATCCCTTTAAGCCTTGTTTGAAAACAGCAGTTCTGAAGCAGACACTACAATAGGTCAGTAATTATGGTGTCTGTATGCTCACATCCTGGGTGAGTGTCTCCAGCGACTTCCCTCGGCTGATCCTCTGACTGGTGGAGCCATGTCTCAGAGATCTGCAGGTACAAAGAGCAGACAGATATTGCATAGCACTTGCTTGAATTTCTGTATGAGTGTGTGTGTGTGTGTGTGTGTGTGTGTGTGTGTGTGTGTGTGTGTGGTCAGACCTGCGCTCCTGCCGTATGTGATGCTGGACACTGAGTATGGAGCGTTCTTTGGCTGGCTGGCCTTCAAAGGATCCACTTAGCATACGCTGTCTGGTACAAGCCCTGTGAAACACAAACATGTTGTTTTTTCTCTCCTCGTGATCAATATAATGGAGATTTAAAAAAATATCAGTGTGTGAGGTCACCAGCTGGCAACCGCCACACAGCTGGATGTGGTCCATCTTCCTGCCTAACGAGCTATCTTCAACCTTCATCATTCTGGGCTCATGAGAGTGGCGATGCAGACTGTTATTTTGAAACAGGTTCCAATCATTCCATTAGTCAGTGTGTGTGTGTGTGTGTGTGTAAGTGAGTGAGTGTGGGCATTCCTGTCTGTTCTGGCTAACTGCAGAGTCATGTACCAGAACAGAGCTAATGACACTGTGGGCACTGGCAGTGTGTGTACTTTAATCATTTATGGAGACTCTGAGCGATTACTTGTTTATTGGCAGTAAGTACGCATGAGTGCCTGCGTATGCTGGACTGTGTGCATGTTTGCCGATGTTGGTGCGACTGTGAGCCTAATTGTGTGTTTGTGTGGACGATCGCAGGCCAGACAGAACGTGTTATGACTACTGATATGCTGTCTATCTTTCAGACTGACTGAATAAGGGACGGGGAGAGGGGGGGTGGGGGGGTGGGTTTGAGGGAGAGCGAGCCAGATTGGACACGGTGCCGGCGAGCTAATCTACACTTAGTGCCAGCTCTGCCATGCTGAACAGCGAATTATCCATTTACTTCATTGTGACAGTAAATGAGTCTGAAGTGGGTCTGTGTGTGTCTTTGTGTGTGTGTGTGTGTGTGTGTGTGTGTGTGTGTGTGTGTGAGCTGGACAGAGAGGCATTAACAATGCCAGGGTGCTGTTACAGCACAGCTACATCTAATATGCACACATATTATTAGTTTCACCCACACAAAGACTAGGATGTATTTCATGATGATGCATAATAAACATATCTCTCCAAGGATGGTGTTGATCCAAAGGCTTTCCTAATTAACAACAAAGGAGCACTAACAACTAATAAAAGTGGGGAGCTGTTCAAAGCTGCAAAAATGAGCGAGATTTGGTTGAAGAGTGACTCTTTTTATAGACATCTAGGTTACATATAACAGCTGTTTTAGCAGCATTTCAGCAGCAGTGGCTTTTCCTGTTCCACAGTGAAAGATGGAGCAGGAAAAGTCATTAAAATGTTGCCTTAATACACACTGAAATACAGTCAGTGAAATGTTGTTAAAGGGACAGTGCACACCAAAATGTAATGGAACTAAATGTCATTCAGAAACACTCAACAGCAATGTCTCTTTCCAGAAATCATGACCTGGTTACTCAAGATATTCCACAGACCTTGTTGTGAGCAGTTTCATATAGGAACTATTTCTTTCTACCGAACTACACCTGCCAACCGCATCACTTTAAAGTCTCTTCATTGGCTTCCCTTTTATTTTCATTCTAAAATTTTGCTTTAAGTTTTTAAATCTCTTAATGGACTGGCTCCTGACTACTTATCTGATCCCAAAGATCCTCCACCTTTGGTCTATTAAATGTCCCTCAGAGTAGAACTAAAAAGTACAGCGATGCTGCAGTCTGTGTCGTTGGCCCTCGTCTCTGGAACAGCCCTCCAGAGGACGTCAGACTGTCTGATTCAGTATACAGTTTGAAATCTTAAAACCTATCTTGCTCTACCTTATCCCGTCTTTTATATGTATTTTCTCTTTTTTTTTTATGTAAAGTACTGCTGCTACCTTACCTAGCACTTCGGTGGGGAGCTAGCTAAGGGTGCAGTTTAGCCCAAGGAAAAGGCCATTTACATCATACGCTGCCGTGAGCACGAGCCTCTTGCCCATGAGTGATTGCTCACTTCTCTCTGCACGGTGATAAAGTTGGCAGGTGTAGTTTGGTTGAACAAAAATAGTTCCTAATAGGATTGCAGCGGTATGAGATTTTCATGGTTTGATAACCATCTCAGAAAGTATTGTGGTTTTACTGTATCACAGTATTACAGAATTTAGATTTTTGGTCAGGATGACCCTTAAGGGAAAAACATGGAAGGATTATTTTTGGTTGAACAAACATTTTATTGCTATAATTGAAACTTGAAACCATTTTGTTAATTGAAGAATGTATAAAAAGTCTCCCCTTTGAAAATTACTAAAATAAAGGGGAGATTGTCCGTCTAGTTGCTTTTTTTTTTCTCAATATTGTAGACTCGTCCATACCCATAAAGTGCACAGCTGCCCACATACAGTTTCACATGGTGTGTGTTTGGGATACAGGTCATAGGAAATTGCAGATTAAAAAGTCACCTGAACCCATTAAGAAGAGCAATGTATTCAGACAGAGTTTTTGTGAATTTGATAGTACGATTGCAGCCACAGCGATCTGTTGCATTTTAGCCATTTTTCTGTTGTTATAGCGCCACCCAGTTGCCAATTAGAGTTAAATTTCTCCAGTCACCTTGAGGCGTCCTGTTCTACATATCTACCAAGTTTAGTAAAAATCTATATGGCTGTTAGGCCTAGATAAGAAATTAGCTCTCTAGCGCCCCCATTTTGTTTGATGGGGTCAATAATGGAGGGGTCCCCTCAGATTATGTGTGGTCATATGCCTACAAAGTTGCGTGGTGATCAGTGAAACCCTTGAGATGTTATACACCTTTATGTGATGAGCCATGGTCTCCGCAATATTCATTGCCTTATAGAAGCTCAGTTTTAGTAAGTTTTTCAACTTTTGCCAAGAGGGAACTTTAGATATTGGTCCCTAGATTATGTTCACCGAGTTTCATGCAGATCGGTCAAACTTCCTAGGAAGAGATCGATTTGAAGTGTTTTTCAAAAAATTCAAAATGGTGGAAAATCTATATAACCAAATGTGTTCCTCTTGAGGAGAGGCATCTCTGTGCAAAGTTTCATGTCTCTATGACATACGAGGAATGAGATATGCCCATTCAAAGTTTGCAATTTCAATCGGTTGCTATAGCGCCCCCCTTTGGCCAACTGATGTAATATTGCTGCATTCGCATCCTCCCATGACCCTCTACCACTGTGCCAAATTTCACATGGATTGACCAAGTCAGTGAGGAGAAAAACGTGGAACAGACACACAGACAGAGTTTTCGTCATTATATAGTAAGATAAGCAAATGTTCATGGTATGATAACCGTCAACCTCTATATATAGTTATACCTTGAAACCGGTATATCGCTGCAACCCTAGCTCCTAAACATAAATGGCCTCCTCCTCGGGCTGAGCTATAATGTTAGCAAGCTCAGTGGTGCTGGTGTTAGCTAACAGTAGGTAAACTCTTCCTTCTGTAGTTCAGTAGAAAGAAAACAGCTGCTACATGAAATTAATCACAACAAGTGTGGATTATCTTGAGTGACCGGGTCATGATTTCTGGAAAGAGACATTGCTGTTGAGTTTTCAAATGTATGTTTTTTTGGCGCTTTGAGCACCACAAACTGAGTGCCATCTAGTCCCATTATGTTTGAGGGAAGGCAGAAATCTCTACGGCCGATATCTCCAACACTCTGCAACTCACAATGAAACAATCTAGATGACAGATAACACTACAGGTAGGAAGAAAAATATGTACTTTGGATTTTGGGGTGAACTGTCCCTTTAAAAAAACAATAAAACTGAAATTTAACTCACTTAAAAGTTAAAACTGACCTGCAAATCACTAGAACCATGTTCAGTAGGGACTGGGAGGTAGATGTGTCTTACCGTAGGATTTTATTGATAGTGTTTTCTTTTTCCAGGAGGTTACGAGCTCGGATGCTAAATATTGACCTGCGGAGCTGAGAAAGAACATTGTGAGAGTCCATTTGTTGGTAGTTTTTTTAAATATACTGTGCAATCCAACACATTGCTACCGATACTGTACTTTCTATTGCTATAGTTTATCTTCTGTGTGTGTATATATAGTCATGAAAATGAAGCTGTCACTGTCCTATCCCTTTTCTGTGTGTGTGTGAGTAAGAGAACGAGTGTGTGACAGTACCTTTTGGTCGATATACTTGTTGTCTTCAATGGCTGAGCGTTTGGAGTGGTCACAGGAGGAGGATGAAGCGGAGGGGAGACGCCGGAACAAACAACTGGTGTCCTGCTGCTGACGATCAATGAACTGCTTCATAAAACTCTCCCTGGAGGACACAACAAAGAGCGCACACACAAATGTAATGAATTGTAATGCATTGCTTTCCACTGAAGAACTCCCTGTGCTTAAAAATAGACGGCATAATCACAGTTGTATTACAACACCAAACCAAACAACCTCGGTACAAATTCAGCAGCAAAGTATGTCAGAGGAAGCTCTTGCTGCAGCAGCCTGGCAGATGGGCTGCAGAGGGGGATTTCTGTGGGGAGCGAAGGACCCAGCTGTGCACTAATCAGCAACTAAATGATAAAATTGATTATGAGGTCCACTGTGTTGGACGTAGTTCAGCTCTCCTGCTAAAAATGGCATACTGTAAGACACAAAGGGACTCCTTGCAGAACATTATAGGTTGCTATACACCAGGAGCAAATCTGAAACATTTTTCTTGCAGTTCTTTCCCTTTATCGTTGTCAGTACTGCAGAGAATGTCTGGAGAATGGTGGCAACATGAAAGGATTTGACATCTTTAATGCTTGTTGTTGTGCGGTTACTGCAATAAACTGGAAATCACTACTGTATTTGTAGTAGTGATGAAACGGCTAGTTCACACCGCTGCGACTTTTCTCTGCAATGTTCTAAAACATTTCGCTAATCTTTGGTCTGAACTGGGCTTTAGAATGAGCTGTTTATATCCACATAGGGAGTGGATCCTAGTCCACGTAGTCTGCCATGTTTCTACAGTAGCCCAGAATGGACACAAACACTGGCTCTACATAGGACCATTCATGTTTTAAGTAAGCTCACAGTAGTTAGCAGCCCCTGTGCAGCAAGCAGCATCAGAAATATATTGAGTTTTAAATGTGAAACTGCTTTATTCAGTGTTGTTTACCGGTTTTGATCACCTGGTAAAAACCTTCTGAACGTCAGGATCTTAAGTTATCAGAGAATAAAGGTGAGAGCACATTAGCAGGTGCTGTCTGCAACGCCCTGAACAGCGTCTGAGTAGCGCTGATTTGTAACGTTAAACTGCTTTATTAAGTGTTTTTACCAGTTTTAATCACCTTTTGTGGCTGATGTTGGAGAGGAAGAGACCTCTGTGGATAGCTCAGCTCCCATTAAAAACCTCCTGATTAATGAACATTAAAAGAATCCTAACTAGGAGTTCACACTTGGCACATTGGAAGAGTTTCAGCTGGTTTCAATCTGCAGTTCTCCACACTAGACGCCACTAAACTCTACAAACTGCTCCTCTAACGATTTTTATTAAACTAACTGGAGACATTTTGGTCTATATACAGTGCATACCTCAAAAACTGCATGCTTTATGAATTGACTTGGTGTGTGTGTGGCTGTGTGTACCTGATCCTGGGCACTGTGAAATCAGATGGGAGCTTGGAGATCTTCACCATCTGAGGTCTGTTGGGGAATTTCTCAAAGATCCTGAGTCGCAGAGGGAGCTTCTCTTTGGTGTCGGCATTGGCTTCGCTTTGCTTGAGCTGAAAGACGAGGGGGTGAGAGAACCAGTTCAGGCAGGGTACAGAGGAGCAAGACAAGATACAGTGAAAGGGGAAAGGCAGCCACTTGATGGGAATGAAGGAGAGAGTGATTAAAATAAGATACAAAGGGAAGAAGGACACTGTTACTGTAGTCTGGGTGTGAACAGTTTGGGGATTTTGAGAGCTGCATGAAGCCATCCTTGGTATTTAAGGAGAAAAAGCACAAGACTAAGCCCGGTATTGCGAGAGACAACTGTGAAATGCAGAGGTTTTATCACAGACTGGAGAGTGCAGCTTTATGTTTCTGCCTGATGATGGCAGCAACACACCTACCTACAACACACACAGCACATACAGTACAGACAACCACATTTAGGATGAGATCCCACTTACTTTCAGAAAAGAATGGAGAAGGCAACAAAAGAAAAAGGAAAGATTACTTTGGAGTGGTTAATGGAGAAAAGAAAGCGACAGTTGGAATAATGTGCATGTGTGCAGGCCTAGCTCTGTGGCACAGGCTGGTGGAATAAAAAAAAAAGATGACAAAGGGAATGAAACCAATTATTTCCATTTAATTACATATGGGGGAGGCTGATTGAAATCCCCTCGCAGGTATTCTCTGTCTGGGTGCCTGGAGATAACCCCTGATGCATTGCAGATTAGGCTTGGAAGTGAACTGCATTTAGGGCAACGTTGAATGGCAGCTTATCATTCAGGGCAGGAAACCGCTGCGAAACATACTGACTGGGCTCGGCGAATGTTTTCTCTGTCAGTCACGCCGTTTGTCTAGCAATGCAAACGTCCCTTCACGCTGTTCATGTGTATTGGTATTTCTGTCTGCGCTTGTCTGACTGCGAGCGCCGGAACGACTGGAACAGCCCCTCGTATTTGAGGGATAACAGTTGGGGGAAGGAGAGACCTGACAAAGGAGGGAATGGAAATCTGTCTATCCATTTTGTTTTTCGAACAGACTCAAATGTTGGAGCTTCTTTTTTACCCTGAGTGGGTGAGTGGTGAGTGGCATACTGTGAAGACGGAATTATGTAGCAGCATTTGCTTGCCTAGGCTTTCTGTCTATATTCTGTCTCCCAAGATAGACACAAGATAGAAAGCGGCAGAGACAGAGGGAGACTAAAATAAGTAAAAGAGAGAAGTAGACAGTATGGGAGGATAAGTACGAGACAAAACTTAAGGGATGATTATACAGAAACAAGTGGATTATGGATCTAATATGGCTTAAAGCAATAAACAAAACACCATCTTATACTGTATCTGCTTCAGCACTATAGGATTGGAAATAAAAGTGCACCGAGCTTCCTTCAGTGCTGCAGTTCTCTGGGTGAAACTTGCAGAAAGTGCTGCAGTCATCTCGAATTGTACCTGTTCATTTGGTTGCTGAATTTCCAGCCAAGCAGAACACACACAAACAACAATCCACAAACAAGCATGCATGCACAGTTCAGAATTAATATGGACCATACTGTTCCCAAAGGTCCTAATCAATTGGGCCAACTCAGCGAGATGTACAGTTTAGCCGAAGCTCTACACCCTTATCTGCAGCAGTATCCCATTACAGTCGAACTTTCCGTGCCTTGTACTGTCCTTCATTGCTCGCTGTGTTCATCCCCCTTTTCTCCACCTCTCAGAAGACTTTGTTCTTCCCCATCACAGCGAGCATCTAGCCACATCTCTTTATATAAGGCTGCCCCAGTCTCACAATCTTAACTTCTGATTCTGTTTGTTGCCTCCTTCCCTCACTAATCTGCCATTCTTCCTTCCTTTCCATTTTCCCAACAGAGGAGAAAAGAGAGCTGCTCTGGGGAGAGGAACAGACTAAACATCCAAAAAGAACTGCTATTAAAATCTTTTCTCATAAACAGAGTGCTGTAGTGTGAGTGATGCACTCTTATTCATGTAATTCAATTTAGCCGTTTATTTATTTATATGCTGAATCTGGAATCTGGGGAGCCACTGACTGTGGAAATAAATAAGCAAAGGATGCACTGAATTTAATTTTAAATTACCCTAGGAAAACAAATCGGAATCCACGGTACCATGGTCCATTTAGATTATTTTGTGCCATTACGCCTTACACCATAAAAAGTCAAGGAAGCCTATGCAGGAAGAAGTGTCTGCTACAGTACCAAATGTATATTATCCTTAATTACTTACACTGTGTGTGAGGCTGTTCTGGAAAAGATTTACCTGGTAAATAGGTGCACTAGGAAGCTGCAACAGATTACAGATCACACTAGGCCTTCAGCCTGCTCAATACATGGGATCAATAAAGCACACACAGACATGCAAGAGCCCACTTACCAGGAAAATCTATTGTCTACCGATTATTGGTTTTAGGTGTTGCTGTGTCACAGAGGAGGAATTGCTCTCTCCTGTATAAGTGCACGCATGACAATATCATGCATTATGTACACATTTGTGTGTTTAAATGCACCCAGAATATTTCTCTCTGTCAGTGTGCTGAAATGTCAAGTGTGTGGGATATAGGGAGGGTATATTAGCTGAATATGATAAAATAATAAATGTTTTCTTTAGTGTATAATCACTTGGAAATAAGAATCATTGTATTTTCATTTCCTTAAGATAAGCCGTTTCTATCTACATAGGGAGCGGGTCCTTGTCAAGAGATGTCTGTCTCTAGATAGGGACATTTGCTTTTTCACGTTGGCCACCGTAGTTAGCATCCCCTCTGCTACGAGCACCATTGGAAAAACACTTTTTTTTTAATGCAAAACTGCTTTATTCAGTGTTTTACCAATGTTTTTTACTGGTTTAAATCAGGTCCGTTTGTTTTGAAGAGGTAGAGACCTCTGCAGATAATTCAGCTCCTGGTAACAACCTCGTCTGGATCTTAGGTTATCAGAGAAATAAGGTGAGCACACATTAGCAGGTGCTGGGCTAGCCTGTTTGTAAAATGACAAATAGCGTAGGAGAAACACTGATTTGTAATGTGAAACCTATGACTTCATTCAGGGTTTCTACTGGCTTAAATCACCAGGTCAATTTATTCTGGGGAGGAGGAGACCCTCAGCTCACGGTAGAAACCTTGACCTGAATGTCTGGATCAGAAAAAAAAGTGAGCACACATTAACAGGTAGGTGCTAGGAAAAGCTTAAGAGAAAAACTGGTTTGTAATGTGAGCCTGCTTTATTCAGTGTTTTAATCACCAGGTCTATTTGTTTTGGAGAGAAGAGACCTCTGAGGATAATTTGGTTCCTGGTGAAAACCTCCTGAACAATGAACACTGAAGGAATCCTAACCAGGAGAAGTTTCAGCTGGATGCAATCTGCAATCCTCACTGCCACTAAATCCCCCTTAATCTTACACACTGTTCCTTTTAAGTGTCTATAATCAATATTTTTGTAACAACGGATGACATGACTACTTGTAGCCTCTGTGAACGGTATCATATGCCAGAGGGACATAATCAAGGCTTTAAATGAATGCTAATGTTGCTGCTGGATGTGTAGCAACTTTGCCAACAGGTTTGCCATACAGCTTGTATCCGCTGCCTCAAGTGACCCCTGGGCTTAAGTGTTCAAGGTTAAGCACTACTCCCACATAAATGTGTGCTCCTGTGTGTTTGTGAGAAAATGTCTCTGTGTTTCTCTTTATGTCACAGTGAATGCTTGATAAATCAAAACCACTGCTTCGCTTGCCACAGATGAGATTTAGTGTATGGCGGTGCAACAATGGAACCGAGACTAATGTGTTTTGCCTTGAGACCCATTCAGGTGACCTGCCACTGCTTCCCCCTCCACTCAAGCCAATTTCAGGCTCGGCTGAGCTAGGGAGATTTCCGCCCGGGATTTCCACAGCTTTCCTGACCAACGCTGAGCATTAGCATTAGACCAAATTCAGGAATAGCCATAGTTCAGTGGGAGCATGGGGAGAAGATAAAATAGTCAGCGACAAAATGGCTTCAGACGAGCAGCTGGAGAGGGTGATACAGTGCGGGGTGAAAATGAGCTGGGAGAAAAAGCATTTAAAACAAGAAAAAAGAAAAGGCATAAAACCCTTGTGTAATGATACTACTTACTATTATGTTCAGTATTAGTACCTCCATGTAATAAGCATTATGACATACAAGACACTCAAGCTGTCATGACAGCTTGATTTCACAGCTGCAGGACCAGATAAGTTCCCTCCAACGCAGCTCCATGCTGATAGCATGATGACAAAGACACTTAACAGCATGACGAACCCATCTGGAGGTATGACCCTTATCTGTTTGATATATGCAACTCTAAAAACCTTCAGTTTCAAGCTGACCTGCAAGTAAGCTAACAGAACGCTGGAGGAGGCAGCCTTTTTACAACTGACCCCTGCACCCAACTTGGAAATGACTGATTTAGCAGCACAACAAATACAGCCAGAAATCTTCCATCTATCTCAAACACTCCTCATTTAAGCATTTTAGCATTAGCCCTCATAAACAGCACAAGCACTACTAGTTACTGACTCTGATAAGAGTGTGAATACTTGTTTTCCCCCCTGTGTAATTCCTCTGAACTCTCCGTTCAGTCCTGCTACAGCACCTCAGAGACATGCAAACACAGAGTAGGAATATCTTCGAGACTAGCCAGTGGAACAATCGGGAGCTGATGAACAGCCGCCCACAAGACTGCTGCCCACACACACTCGCCGAGTGCCTGTGGGAGGATGTACATACAGTCATCTGCATTTTACCATTCAGACATCAGAGCCTGCCATTCAGCAACAGCACCAGACAACAGCTGTGCATGTGTGAGTGTGTGTGATGAGAGACTGCATATTTCAGTGTTAATACGACAGCCTTGCCGTACTTTCTGCGTAATCCAGCATTCAGCGTGGTACATACTTATCTGTAGTGCATCACAGCAGAAAAAAATGTATGTGCTGTTTTTGTGTTCCTCGAATCTTCTGTAAACCTTTGTTCCCTCAACAACAATACACATAATCTAAAATGTAAAATAAGCCCAAGTAGTAATCTGAAAGCACAT